CTTTCTTTCCTTCCTTCCTTTGTACGCCTCTCCCTTTTTCAACACTGGGATTATGGGTGCTAGACCCCTGTGTAGTGCAAAATCTTTGTATAATTCTTATGCTCCCTCCCCAAATGTAACTACAAAGCATATAAACAGTTGATTAACACACACACACACAGCCCTCCCCTGACCCAAGCCTCCCCGCATGCTCCAGCACCCTCCCTGGCCACTACATGGACCTTCCATGACAGGAGAGGGGGCTGGCTGGGCTGCCATCATCAGACCAGGGGCTGTTGCACTGTCAACAATAGGGGCCTTGGTAAGCCTGAGATGCACCTTTGTCCAGACCACTCCCCAGATATCAATAGCAGTACAGTATTTATTGAATAATAGTTAATAGGGGGGTGTATAACTAAACCTGTGCTACTCAGATCCCTGCAGTTTAAGGGAGAAGTGTATTCTTGTAACTGTTCATATAAATATATTGTGATGGGGAAGAAAAGCTGACTGGATAACTCAGTGGTTTAGTTATCTGGCTGCTGAACCAGACATTGGGAGTTTGATTCCCCACAGTGTCTCCTGAAGAGGAGAGCCAGCCTGGGTGGTTTTGGGCAAGCTGCACAGTCCCGGGGAAGAAGGGAAGGAACAACCACTTCTGAGTATTCTCCACCTGGAAGAAAAAGGGAAGGGTCAACCACTTCTGAGTATTCTCCACCTGGAAAATCCTGAAGTGGGTTCTCATAAGTCAGAATTGACTTGACAGTACATGATTATTATTATTTATCTAGGTAGAAAATGAACTGTAGTCATCGAATCCCTTATCCACAAAGTGACCTTTAGTGCCATGGATCCTTCGTGACATCATCATCATTGTGCCTACTGACTTTAGTCTAGTTCTGAGTAGCTGTTGCTGTTGGGGAGCAAAGGTGCTCATATTGTCATAGCAGAGCAAATGGTTAAAATCAGAAGGGAAGGCAAGCAGATGGAATAATCCTCAAAGATCTAATCCATTTTGGGCCAGTTCCGGTGAAGCCTGGCATTTCCTCTGCGAAGTGATTTCTGAGAATTCCTTGGCTATGGGGAGAATTGGGGAGAAATGAGTGCCTTGGACTGCCCTTTGCCGAAGCAGCCTGTCTCTTTTGCAGAGTCTCCTCTGAGATCCGGTATCGGAAGCAACCGTGGAACATAGTGAAGACGCTAATTGAGAAAAATGCGTGGAGTGGGGTTGAAGAGTACTTCAAGCACTTGGGTATGCGGAGCAAAAAGCGAAGGCCCCTCTCAGCCTTCCAGCAAGGTTGTCAAAATGGGGGCTCGGAATTCTCTCTTCCTGCTGCTTCACCCCATATGAGGGTCATCACCAGCAAAAGGGTCGATGGCATGATTTTTAGATCTATAATTCCCAAAGATTAGTCTGTTCGGATGGGCAGAATTGGAAGAAGAGTGCGCAGGTTTGGAAGGAGCAGAGTGGTTTGCAGATGGACAGACTGACCGCCCCCTCTATCCCTCTCGGTTCTCGCAGAACTGGCGCTGGAGCAAGCTGAAAAGACCCTGCTGGAGGAGAACTGCCATGGTAAAGAAACGCGGGGCCTCTTGGCCGGACTACGCCGCAGGAAACGGACCCTGAGCTGGAGAGCACCCCACGTTGAGCCCCCAATTCCTACGTTACCCGATGGCGAGGGGACGAGCCGCACCCTTCGCCCCTCAGGTATGGCCCTTCCGTTGGAGAAGGGGAGCCAGCGGCCCAGCTTGTCCCCCTCCCTCCCCATTCCAGGTTGACTTTGCTCAGCTTTGCGTTTGGAAGGCCCTAGGCTGAGTCCTCAGCATCTCTAAGCCTGGAGTGCTTACTGAAATCCTGGACAGCTGCTGCCAGTCATGGTTGACAATACTGGGATAGATAGACCAGTGGTGACAGGGGAAGGCTGTTCGCTGCCTCTATTATTATTTTTAAAAAGTCTCTGGGGTTTTCAGCCTGACACACAGAAACACATGATGCTTACCTACCGCTTTATCAGCTGTCCGTCTCGCAGTTTAACCTGGTATATACAGTGGTTGCCAACTTTGGGTCCCCAGACTTCCTTGGACCGCAACTCCCAGAAATCCTGGCCAGCACAGCTAGTGGTGAAGGCTTCCGGGAGTTGCAGTCCAAGTACATCTGGGCACCCAAGGTTGGGAACCACTAGTTTACCACTTCATTGACCCCCTCAGCTATGGCTCCTCCATGGGGGAGGGTCAGCCAAGGTTCTGATTTCTCTCTTTTCTCCTGCACCCTGGATAGACCCCCCCTCCCCCCAGAATTCTGGGCAACGCTACCTCCTGCAGCTCCTGACACACTGCCCTTCTCTCTTCCAGGCAGCCTTTCCACACGGCTTTCGGAACAGCTGTTGGAGAAAGGGCACAGCCAGACGGTCTCCACGGTGATCCTCATCATCAGCCTGGTGTAAGGGGGAACTGTTGCTTCGGGGAGAGGGGGGGTTGGGCCTTTGGAGAGGATCAGGTCTCCCAGTGTTGTGGGACTAGAACCTCCAGGATCCTTAACTATGTGGGGAGGATGGGAGTTGTAGTCCTCTGGGGAGCGCCACAGATTCCCCACCTCTGATCTTAATAAGCTGCCACTGGCGACATTGTGCCATCCTGTGTTTGTTTTCTTAGTGGGGAGTCTCACCTTATGCTATGGGGCTTTCAGCCTAGATGGAGAGAATCCAGTTTGCTGAAGAGCCTGAGGGAGTGTGTGGGGGGTGTCACACTCTGTGGTCCTCACACAGAGTACAACCTCCTACTCCCCAGGCAGCAGTGGAGCTGTTCGGGTAGGACTCTGAGGCAGTCGTTTAACAGAATGAGCAGAAACATTCCTTCGACAGAGCATGGCTGCTTAGCGTATTTGTAAATCGTGAAATAACACCCGTTCTTCTCTTAACACTGCTCCCCACCAAATAACCATGAAGTCTAGAGTGTAAAATAAACTGAAAATACATTGGTTGTTGTGGGTTTTTCGGGCTCTTTGGCTGTGTTCTGAAGGTGGTTCTTCCTAAAGATGCTGGCCACAGAGACTAGCGAAACGTTAGGAAGAACAACCTTCAGAAAATGGTCAAAGAGCCCGAAAACCCACAACAACCATTAGATCCCAGCTGTGAAAGCCTTCACAAATACATTGAAAATACATTGTTGTCATTGAAGAGAAGGATTAACAGGGATTCTTGGGGGGAAAACAAAGAGTGATGGAAAGTGGTTGAGATCTGGCAAGAACTGCAAGGTGGACGGTGTTCCTCTTCCTTTTGTGATGCCTCAAAAAAGATCTTTTCCTGACCCTTCTGCGCTGTTCACAGTGACCTTCCAAGTCAGATCATGTCAGATTTTAACTGGGCAACACTCGCCTGCGCTGTTCACACTGACCTTCGAAGTCAGGTCATGTCAGATTTTAACTGGGCAACACTCGTTTCCTGCCTCACATTTAAGGCCATCTAACAATGTCTGGACTTCACTGTGTGATGTGTATTTTCTTGGCCTCCTTCCCACATAGCAGGCAGTCTTTAGCAGGCTCCCAGTATGGGAAACATGGTGGTGGTCATGAAGTTTGGAACAGGTAATAGGAAGTTACAACATCATGACATGGATGGGCTGGGCTACGTTTTAGTGGAGGGGGACTTTGCAGGAGGGAGGGATCAGGATATATTGGTTTTGGGCATGTCCTTATGGATGATCCATAGCCCATTGACAGAAAGCAGAGCACCTGTTTTGGCATGCCAAAACCCCCAGGCGTAATCTTGATCATCTGGGGAGGCTTCCATCCCAAACTCTGGAAAAAGCGTTGCAAGCCAGTGCAGACGTTCTTAAACTGGAGGGATTGGTGATCAGGCGCAGCATAAAACTGCATCTCATCTCAGTGTAAGGCAGTGTCTCATCTTGTGTGTTAAAGGGACAGCTAAGACTCAGTGATAGAGCACGGTACAGTGGTGCCTTGCAAGACGATGTTAATTCGTTCCGCAAAAATCGCAGTCTTGCGAAAATATCGTCTTGCAAAATGCGATTCCCCATTGGAATGCATTGAAATCTATTTAATGCGTTCCAATGGGGGGCAAATCATTGTCTTGCAAAAATTGCCCATAGGAAAACCGTTTTGCGAAGTGCGGATCAGCTGTCAAAATTGCTGTCTTGCAAAAAAAAAAAAAAAAAAGTTTCCAAAAATAAGTTTTGTGAAGTGGGGATTCAGCTGTTGAAAATACATTGTTGTCATTGAAGAGAAGGATTAATAGGGATTCTTGGGGGGAAAACAAAGAGCGATGGAAAGTGGTTGAGATCTGGCAAGAACTGCAAGGAGGACGGTGTTCCTCTTCCTTTTGTGATGCCTCAAAAAAGATCTTTTCCTGACCCTTCTGCGCTGTTCACAGTGACCTTCCAAGTCAGATCATGTCAGATTTTAACTGGGCAACACTCGTTTCCTGCCTCACATTTAAGGCCATCTAACAATGTCTGGACTTCACTGTGTGATGTGTATTTTCTTGGCCTCCTTCCCACATAGCAGGCAGTCTTTAGCAGGCTCCGAGTATGGGAAACATGGTGGTGGTCGTGAAGTTTGGAACAGGTAATAGGAAGTTACAACATCATGACATGGATGGGCTGGGCTACGTTTTAGTGGAGGGGGACTTTGCAGGAGGGAGGGATCAGGATATATTGGTTTTGGGCATGTCCTTATGGATGATCCATAGCCCATTGACAGAAAGCAGAGCACCTGCTTTGGCATGCAGAAAACCCCAGGCGTAATCTTGATCATCTCTAAGTACATCCTGGGGAGGCTTCCATCCCAAACTGTGGAGAAGCACTGCAAGCCAGTGCAGATGTTCTTAAACTGGAGAGACTAGTGATCAGGCTCAGCATAAAGCTGCATCTCATCTCAGTGTAAGGAAGCGTCTCATCTTCTTATGTGTTAAAGGGATGACTAAGACTCAGTGATAGGCACTGTATATGGAAGTTCCCAGGTTCAGTCCCCAGACAAGAATGGAAAGGATCAGTGTAAAATCAGTGCTCCGACCAGCGTAAGGCAGTGTTCTGTCTTATATATCATCTAGCGAGGCACCGCTGTATATGGAAGGTCCCAGGTTCAGTCCCCAGACATGAATGGAAAGGATCAGTGTAAAACTAGACTGGCCTAGATAGACCAATGCTCCAACCAGCGTAAGGCAGTGTTCTGTCTTATATGTATGCTTCCCATCACTTCTAGCCTGTCCCAGAGAAACATCCCATGTCTGTTTACTACTTCATTGGCTGTGCTGCACAAGGAGGTCGGGATGGGACGGGGAGTTGTTGTGGTAGATCACATGCATTAGCTGACAAAGGCCACAGGGGCCCGATCCTTGGTGTTTAGGTAAGTGGTGGTGAGAAAGATCAGCTCCACTGATCCCGGAGAGCGGGTGACTGTTAGAACAGCCAGAACAGGGCGAGACGGGCAAACGGTCTGATGCCAGGAGAAAGCCGTTCCCTGTGCTCTTAAAACAACTTGCCTCTCGCTATTTCTGGATGTTGTCGGGCTCGGTTTAAAATAGGAGATTTGGCAGCCTTGGTTATTCTAAAAGTAGAGAAAAGATTGGGAAGGGAGTCCATTAGGATACAATCTGTTTGTTCCGGTTTCTGTTTTTTGTGGTGGTGGGAGCAGGAGCAAAGCTTCACACGTCTCTCTCTTTCCTCCTCCTGTCTCTGCCTCCGCACAGGATCTGTGTGAGGTACTGTATGCAAATGGTCATTCCATGCTTTTGCCTCCTGCACCCTTTGGACCTGTCCCCCCAACCTCAGCCCACGCCGCCCGGTCCTTGCTGTTGACTCAGATGCTGTTTGTTCCTCCCTTGGTCCCCTGCCGGCCACATCCCACCTCTCTCCCTTCACCTCTTCCCCAGTCATGAGTGGCTTATTTACCTTTGCTTTATCGGGACTTCTTCGTTGGCCCTTTCGGTCCCTGTTGTCACAAACCTCTTTACCGTTTGCTTGCTCCTTAGTGGTTGTTGTGTCCTCAAGGCATGCTGTGCATTGAAAGAAAAGCAAAAGCAAAAAAAACCCAGTTCTATAACCAGGATGAATTCTCTTCTCCTGGCTAAAATCCAGCAATCTGCAGATGGTTACCTTATTTTTGCCTCCTTTCATTTGTTTCTAGGAGCAAGGCCAAGGGACAAACTGTTATATGAGGCCACTAATCTTGTCTCTTGATTGCTAGGTGGCTTATTCAGCCCCATTTTGTCCTCATCCCCATGGCTTCCGCCATTTTATTGACACTGCCGGCACATGTTCATAACTGGCATTTGAAAAGCAAGAAGCAAAGCGTGCTGCTTATAAAGTGCCCCATAGCGCTTAAAGCACTCTCTGGGTGGTTTACAAGTTAATTATGAAGCCTATACATAGCCCCACCTCCCAGCGAGCTCAGTACTCATTTTACTGATCTTGGAAGTAGAGATGGGGGTATTCATATACGAATACCCCTGCACAGGTGGCAATAATGAGGGTCCACCAACCTAGCATTCCCTGCACCCCCTGATCCAGGTTGTTAATAAAAATATTGAACAGCACTGGGCCCAGGACTGAGCCATACTTGGACCTGGCAGAAAGGCTTGTCGTCCCGCCTCCTGCCAGGAGTGGCTCGCCGATCGCGAGTTCTGGAGTGATAGGACGGGATCGCGCACCCCACGGCAGTGGCGGATCGGTGAGTGGACCGTCCGGCACCATGGGGCCTGACCCTCCTTATCGCCACCCGTGCGGGGGCATTCGTATACAAATACAAATACCCCCATCTGTACTTGGAAGGATAGAAGGCTGAGTCAACCTTGGGCTGGCCACCAAGGATTGAAGCCTGGGTTGTGAGCACAGTTTAGGATTGAAGCCTGGGTCATGAGCACAGTTTTGGCTGCAGTCTAGCAGTTTAACCACTGCGCCACGAGGCTCCAAGATCTAAGAATGAGACTCTTCCTTTAAGGAAGGAAGAAGGAAGATAGATGAGAGTATCAGGATGCATTGAACACACCCAACTGAACTGCTTGGGGGGGGGGAAGAGAGAGAGAAAAAGAAAAAGAAACCCATAATTCTATCCATATATCTTCTCTGGTATGTGTCCTTCCGTTCAGATTGTGTTCGTCTTCTGTGTTTGCAACATGATCCATGTCTTTTGATGTTGTGGTATCCATGTTTTTATGTCGGGAAAGTGCATGGAGCTGCTCACCTGGGGAGGTTGTTGCAGATCATTGTCTTCGATCACCTTGGTTAGTTCCCTAACCATGATGCTTGCAACCTTTCGGGCGAAGTGGCATGAACTCCTTCTCTGTCTTTCCCACCCACTCTCACCTGTATTAATTCCTGTGTTCTCCCCTCTTTAAATACTGTGTTTGGCGATCTACATGCAACTCGTATTCTGAACTGAGATGTCAGATTCTAGAATTTTCTGTTCATTGTGGAGTACACTAATAGACAGTTATGGTTTGTGCTTTTTGATGAACAAGCAAGTTGGGAGAACTGCACGGTCCTGGCTGAAGCTGTGGGGCTTGAACTAAGGATTTTTGTTCATGAAAAGGCCGAAGCTGCTGGGACGGAGCTGTTTGCTCAGTGACACAACCTAGGCTTAGTTTATGGAACGTTCCCGGATCCAGTTCCCTGTTTCTCAATGTGAAAGATGTCTGCCTTAGAGACCTTAGAGAAAAGCTTCCAGTTAATAAAGACAGCTGTTGTCCAGATCAGTGGTTTCCAACTTTGGGTGCCCAGATGTTCTTGGACCACAACTCCCAGAAATTCTGGCCAGCACAGCTAGTGGTGAAGGCTTCTGGGAGTTTCAGTCAGCAATAAACACAATAGTTGTCGAAAAGAGATGAGGCCAAGAATAGCAAATAAATAGGAAGTGATGGCCTGCTTTGAAGAGTGTGTTTGCTTGCTTGCTTGCTTTTCCATTAGGAGGGGCTTCTCTCTTATTATTATTATTATTTATTTAATTTATATCCCGCCTATCTAGTCGTGGTGGACTCTCTTCTTCCACCCTCCCCACCCCCTGCCTAGTCCAAAACAGTGCAGCTGAAGCCAGAATGGCCTCCACACTTCCAACCTTTTCTGTCTCCCGGCAGCCTGGTGGTTCTGGTCATCCTCAACATGATGCTGTTCTACCGGCTCTGGTCTTTGGAGCACACAGCCCGAACCTTTGAATCTTGGCAGGCCTATGCACTCTCAAACGGGTAAGTCCCTGGGAGAAGAGGAAGTGAGGGAAGCCCCAAATTGTGATCTTTTCTTCCTTGCCTTTTAAACAGGAAACATGGGTTTGGGTAGAACGTAATCTGTTCACAAAATGTTCCAAATCTTGTTTGAAAAGGGGTGGACAAGGGAGCAGCCCCCCAGGTTCGGAGGCTATTTTTATCCATTTCTAACTTGGCTTGACCAGTGTTCCGTGTGAGTATTCACCAGTTTTCTCCAAGCTGGAAGGCGCCAGATGTATTGGATTACAACTCCCATCATCTGTGTTCAATATCACTGTTGCCCGACACATCTTGGGAGGGTGGGAGAATCAGGTTTGATAAGGTCAGTGCACACAAGCACAGTATTTATTTACTCAGTTGACTTCCTTTTTACAATTTATTCATTTGTTAATGCCTTATTTGCCATGCCTGGTTGAAGCATTTTATAATAGAAATGGCAAAAAGCGAAGACAAATTATGAAAAGCAGTATTTTAGAATGCAGAAGGCCTTGTGGAACCAAAAAGGTCAGAACAGTGTTTGTAAAGATGGCTGAGGAGGAGATTGCTTCACCAAGCGCATTCCATACAGCCACTCAAAAGGACCTATCCGGGGGGGGGGGGGNCGGGGGGGGGGGGGATTCACCATTCCGGTATTAACTAACAAGGAACCAAAGGCGAAAAAGCCCCTGAAGCTGATCTTAGAACTCTGTTTAATCCATATGGGACAAAAGTAATTCTTCAGTTTATCTGGTGGTAGCGCTGTGGGTTAAACCGCAGAAGCCTCTGTGCTGCAAGGTCAGAAGACCTGCAGTCGTAAGATCGAATCCATGCGATGGAGTAAACCCCCATCGCTTCTCCCAGCTCCCGCCAACCTAGCGGTTCGAAAGCATGCAAAATGCAAAAATGTGAGTAGATAAATAGGTACCACTTTGGTGGGAAGGTAAACGGCATTCCGTGTCTAGTTGTGCTGGCCACGTGACCACAGAGGATTGTCTGCCGACAAACGCTAGCTCTATGGGTTGGAAACGGAGATGAGCACTGCTGCCTAGAGTCGGACACGACTGGACAAATTGTCAAGGGGAACCTTAGACCATTTAGGTGAGTCTTCCCCAAGCAGACCCCTTCCGATGTTGGTCCTGTCCCCCTCAGCCATGCTGGGGGCGATGAGTGTTGTGGTGGACTGGAGAAATTGTCAAGGGGAACCTTAGGCTATTTAGGTGAGGCTTCCCCAAGCAGACCCCTTCAGATGTTGGTCCTGTCCCCTTCAGCCATGCTGGGGGCGATGAGTGTTGTGGTTGTGGAAGGTATCCGTTTGGGGAAAGCTTTCGGGATCCCTCCAGGTGAGTCGCGGAGCTTTCAGCCTGAGTCCAAAAACAGACGGGCAGCCATTGGGCTGTGAGGTTGGATCAAGATGTGAATTAACGACCCTGCCTTCTGCAGCTTTTCTGAATGGCTTCAAAAAACAGCCCCTCTTCGCCACCCTGTCAGAGAGAGTTCTCTAGGGACATAAAGGACATTTAGACAGGCAGCTCGGCAAGGACATGTTCAATGTTTTGCATTTCTAATCCAAAATAGAGCGAATGCTTGCATCACACGTGGAGGTATGGAAACAGAAGAGATTTGTAGTTTTTTTAAAAGTGGCATTTGAATACATCAACAACTTGGTTTTATTGTATTGTAACTTTTTGCTCAAGCCTTTCTGGGAACCCATCCAAGGGTAGGGTATAAATCAAACAAATGCATAGATAAAAGTAAAATTCAATAGTTCTGTACAGTCATACGTACAGTATTTATTATCATCTGTGTATACTTCAAAGGAAGAGCAATTCGTTTTTAGCTCCCTGGAGGATATTCTCTGTGGCAAACCTAAATTTGACTCTGCATGAAATGAAAATGTCACCTTATCTAGAAAGTACCGGTACATATTCTGTGGCTATTCTTGTTTTATTTATTCAGTGTGAAGTGATGATTCAGTGGAGACTGAAAAGCCTTCTCAGTATCATGTTGTAGAAAATGCTCCATAAAGCGGGGATGGGAAATATTCATTGTTTCTGGACTCCATCTCCCATCATTCCTCACCATTGGCTTTTTTGGCTAGGGCTGTTGGGAGTTATGCTTTGAGCACATCTGAACGGCTATCCATGGTTTCACTTATCATGGTCTCAAAATGTTAAAAGAAAAAAAAACCCTAAAATACAAATTTGCACAGTGTATTTACCAGAATACCTGAGGTAATCGTGTGATCTCTGGCTTTCTCTAGCAGCCTGTTCTAGTAATACATGGTGAAAACACATTTTTTAAAAAAGCAACCTATGTACTGTATAGCATTTGCTATTCTCTGCAGTTTTCAGCATATGGGGGGGCTTGGAACCAATCCCTTGTGGATATGGGGACCCTACTGTATAGGATGTGATGTTGTTTTACATAGAATATAAAAGAGGTGGATATCTAGTATTTATAGGTTTGGAACAGTGGATTCTGGGAGGCTCATTCATGCCTCATTAGACCACGAGTTCAGGATCAGACCACAGAGGAGGCCGCATTGCTTACCCGTGGTCTGGGAAGCACAGAGGGGTGAAGAGGAGGTTGGCCTGGGAGCCATTTTCTTTCATCCTCACATAAGAGATCTCTTTCTTTCATTCTTTGGCAGAAAGCTACCACAGACAGCATCTGAATGGGCCGAGATTCTGGAGCTGCAGAAGCGGTTCCACAGCGTGGAAGTGCAGAAGTGGAAGCAGATCCTCAAGGCCTCTGTTGAGCTTCTGGATGAGGTGATGCCTGTAGCTAAGGATTGTTTCAGAGAGTCAAGGAGCAAGGAGAGCTTAGCAAAGCTGTTTTTTTTTTGGGGGGGGACTACAACTCCCAATGTCCTCCTAACTTTGATGGCTGGTGGATTTTGAGAGTTGGAGTCCACAGAAGTCATCTTTCAAAGCTCTGATAGGTGGCATGTAGAAAATATATCTGGCATGTTTAAGAGCTACAAACTTTTGTCTGTTTTTTTTCTACTGGAGGCTGATCATCCATCATGTCGACTCTCACTTTTTCTTAATTAAATGCAAAAGGAAGGCTGAAAGGACCCAGTTACTGCCCTCGTGCTAGGAGGGCACCAGAAAAATATGCTCAGTGATGGTCCCTTGTCCCTGAAACTTTTAAATGGAGGGAGAAAGATAGATGCTAGGAGATAGGAAGGAGTGATTTGGTGCTGAGGAAGGCCTGTTTTTCTTTTAATTTATCTCCCCTTGCTGGTTTCTCAATGAATTTACTTATTAATTACATCCCCGCCCAATTTAATGGGACTGTATTACACGGCATTCTCATCCTCTCCGGGTTTATCCTCCCAACAGTGCTGTGAGGGAGGTCAGTCAGAGAGAGAGTGACTGGCCCAAGGTTGCCCAGTGAGTGTCACGGTTCAGTGGGAACGAAAACCTAGGTGTCTCTAGTTCTAGTTCAACTTTCCAACGATGTATCGCAAGATACCAGAACTGCATTTCTTCCGTCTGCAGCTGCTGCCACAGAGGTGGAAACGTGGTGGGGGGGGCGATGACTGGCCCCACAGAGCTCAACTGCGACCGGTCTGTCTCCCCAGTCTCTGGTTTTCCTGTGTGTCATGACAGGTACCCTCTTTTCCCCACCAGATGAAGATCTCTCTGGAGAAGCTGTACCAGGGCATCACGGTCGCTGAGCCCTCTTTGGAGCCAGAATGAAACCATGAGGACTCCCTCTCTTGAAGACATTGCTGAAGACATTGTGGGAGAAGGTTCCGGATCCCGCCTCAGAAACTGCTGCTGGCTCAGTGGCACCCAGACCTGATGGGTGGGGGCGGGGGGAAACACCCCACTCCTCGCCAGTCGACACCCCCCCGGGACCTAATCCTCAAGAGTGCCACTGACAGCAATGAATTTTCCTCCCCTGCTTCAGAGACCCTTTCAGCCTGGAGCATCCTTCTCCCCCCTCTCTCTTTTTTTCCTCCAAGGGTCTCTTCAGTGACTTCAGTTGACCCTCCCTGACCCCTTTTTATGTGCTATTTATATTCCCCAGGGGACCCCAGAGAGCTTTCCGACTTTTGCTATCCCGGCATCCTCTCTCCTTGACAACGATTGTGTTTCTTGCTGATGTAGGATCTGGACAGGTCTAAAGAACGGACTCTGCCCAGCTCCCTTGATGCCTCCTTTGGTGCCCTCACCTTCAATCCCATGTTCCTCTTCTTTAGTGGACCTAATTTTTTCAAAAAGGGATTTTTCTCAACGGCATTACCTCTAACAGAAGGGGAAGGGAGCGGGCAGGGACTTTGCGGCCACATTTTCACACAGAGAAATGGGAGAGCAAGGCCGAGTTTCTTGTGTCATGTAGGTTCCTGCCTAGGACAGAGGTGGGGAACCGTCTCCATCCAGATGTTTTGGATTTCAACTCCCAGAAGACCCAGCCAGCTCAGCCAACAGTCAGGGATTCAGGGAGAGGGAAATCCAAAATATCTGTGTCTGCTCTCAGTGATGCGGGACTGGTTTTCCCATCATCCGTTGCCAGTGGCCAGGTTGGGCAGGATGATGAAAATTTGTGTCCAGCCACCTTTAGAAAGCTGCACATTCCCCAGTCCTGGATTAGTGAATGTTTGAGAATGGGATCCAATGGTGATTGGACTGTCCTTTTAAGGTAGAGCCTGCAGTTCTCAGAAAGCTGTATTTCCATGAGAAGGGAGCCGTGAGCCTTCATTTGTCCCAGTGTACAAAGAAAAGCACCCAGTTCTGCCCCCCCCCCTTGCTGTTGGTTTAGCATAAAAGCATTGGCCTGTTTAGGGAAAGAAGATGCCCAGAAGCCCTTCGACTGCAGAATGAGGACTCCAGGGTTTAAATTGTTCCCTTCCTTCCAAACATCTGGGCCCTTTTAAAAATCTGATTTTTTTTCAATGCCTGTCTCCCGGGCAACAGATGCGCCTTCCTTTCCCTGGAGAAGTCACTTTAAAGTTAGGTTTCACTGCCAGTCTGGGCCTGTGAGCCCTTCAGATACTGCCTATGGGGAGGTTGAAGCCTGCCCCCTCCTGAGGAGGGGTGTGTGTGTGTCCGCCAGCGCAAGAGTCTCTGCCCAGAGAGCTCTGGAGGCCCAGGTTTCTGACCCCCCCCTCGTTTTCTCCCTCTTCTCCCCCCTCCCCTGCCCAGCCTCTGAGGCTGGTCTGAGGAGGACCTCCCCAGTTTTGTAGCTGTGTTCAGTGTTAATGATCCTGCGTGTTCGAGGTTCCACAAAAGTGCTGGAGCATATTTATTATGGAGCGGAATAAAGACCGTGGATCGGACGGCAAGGTGTGTTGGTGTCCCTCTGTGGCTGTGGCAGGTTGTGAAACTGTCGTGTGTATATTTGGGCCTTTTAAACTCATATTGTTGTTGATCCAGTTATAGCCCGTCTTTGCTCCAGTGAGCTCAAGATACAGGATTCCCTTCCTCTCCACTTTCACTTCACAACACTCCAGTGAAGTAGGACGGGCTGAAAGATTGCAACTGGCCCAAGGTCACCCAGTGACTCACAACACAACACTAAAAAGCCATAGCACTGCATTGACTCTAAATTGAAATAACTTCTCCCCCCGCCACAACACACACTGTTGCTAAATCAGGATTGAATAATCTGGATCCTGCGTGTCAATGAACCTAATGACATGAACCAACTGGAAGTGATTTGCAGTGATGTGTGGAGCAGGCAGGATCCTGGAAAACATTTGGCGGTTTGTTATGGGCAGAAGACAGCTGCAGTGTGAAGCTGTGAAGTCCACATACATGTGCATTTAAGAGACATGGAGGGTAAAGGCGACCCTTCTCCTCAAGGAAGCCTACAAATAGCAATACGTTTTATTTATTGTGATAGCAATACCTTTCCTTCCAGATAGTCAAGGTAGCATCCATCGTTCTTCCTTTGCAAGATGGGTTAGGCTAAGAGATAGTAACCGGCTCAAGGTCACCCAGTCAGTCAGTCTCATTGGTGCAGTGCAGATTTGAACCTGGATTCTGAAAAATGCTGCTCTGATGGGGTTGAGTGGTGCCTGCTGTGGTTGGTGGGGCAGGGATGCTGCAGGGCCAGGGGCAAAAAACAGGGATTCACAGCAGGAGTGAGGACTGGTCAGCCTTTCCGTTAGACACTGCCTAACAATTCCCCGCTTAATTTACTCTGTAACGGTGGTTCCCAGCCTTTGATCTCCTGATGTTCTTGGACAACAGCGCCCAGAAATCCTGGCCAGCCCAGCTCGTGGCGAAAGCTTGTGGGAGTTTTAGTTCAAGACCATCTGTGGGGGCCCAAGAGTCAGAAACAATTTATCTGAGGAGTAAAATAAAATAAATGCTGTCACTTACCTTTTTCTCCTTCCTTCTCCTCTCCCCACAGAATGTGAGCCTGGACCTTTAGTAAGAGGAAGGAGAGACGAGCAGCCCCCCAGTTCTGGGGGCAGGCAGGTGTGACCTGGGTGGTGACAGTGTGAGCATGAGATGGGGTCCGTGCCCTACTTTTCCTGCTGGATCAGCTGCTGCTGACAAGGGTACCTGTTGGTTCTTCGAGTGGTCTCTGTGAGTGCGCACAAATGGGTTTAATCTGTGCCTGTGCAGGACCTCTCGGATGTTTCTAGAGCTTAAAGACCTGTGATTAGTGGGACGTTCCCCCGTCAGGTGCATGCTCCACCCGCCTGAATTCCCTTCAGTTCCTTTTAGCTGCCGCTTAGGTCAGACCTCCTCGATGACTAGAGCAACTAACTTTTCAATCGCGATCACCTATCGTCTTGTTTGCTTTTATAGGCTTCAGTTTACTTCTCATTGACGTTTCCCCGTGAGTTTTTTCTTTTCTTACTTTCTCTTTCCCATATTTTTCATACTGCCACCTCCCTCTCCCGCCTTTTTATGGCCCCTCCAGGTCCGTTCAGTTGGTGCGTGTCTTGTTCAAATAAGATTCCCCTATCTGACCGTCATGACCGCTGCCTTTTTTGTTTTGGGGGAGCTGTACCAAACTCAATCTTGCCCAGAGTTCAAGAGGCTGACTAAACCGGCCCTCGAACTCTGGCTTCAGCGTCTCCGCTCCTTTCTTTGGGAAAGATCCCTCTGAATAACCACCTGTTCCATGGAGCCTACCCCAAATCCTGTGCCCAGACAGGAATTACCTAAATCCGTGTCGGACTCGACCACGCTCTTCAAAATCCTCTTCGAAGTCGGAATCGACGTCAGTACTGAAGTCATCCTCTATATGGGCTCAGGATCATTCATCTAAAAAGAGGAAGGAGCACATTAAATCCAAGAAGGCTAAAAAACCATCTAAGCCTTCTCAACCTCTCGAACCTCCGCCAGATCTCCCTTCACCAATCTTGGAGGAATCCTCGAGAGATGTTCCTGACTCCTTGTCGGAAGGGGAAGACTCTCTTACTACCTCCAGGCCATGCTCACGTTTCCGTAATGAGCCTTTCGCCTAGTCTTGGCCTCATGGTGGCTGATGTTCCTTCCAGCCCGTCCTTGGCCCATTCTAGCCCTATATCTCGGGGGGGGGGGCAACAGTCATCCAGCTGTCCAACTCGGAATCCTCTTTTCATCAGTCTCCTCGCAAAGACTTAGCAAAGACGTCATCTTTCACCAGTTTACCAAGATCTTCCACATCGAGAGATCTATTATGTCCATGAAGCACCTCGACATCATCTTCCTATTGAATATCAAGACCCTTACCATGGGGGATATAATCGGTCTCGACACTGTGAGGATGACATAGATCTCTATCCGGAGAACTACTACTATGGTGAACCAAAGAGGGTTCGGTATGCATACACTTATCCACCTGAGACTTTGCCATCAGTGTCACCTTCACCACCTCGACACCACCATTGGTCTCATCAACCAAAGCCTCAACCCATACCAACAGGCTTGATCCCCTCTAAACTGGCTCTTAAATGCCACTCTTCTCAGCCATTTGACCAACCAATATTGAAACGTTCCCATACATCCTCCATACTGATGTTCACTTCTGCCTCCCAACCTAGCACCACCCTTTCCCAGGTTCGTTCCTCATCTCTACAAGTCACCGCCACATATAGAGGACCTCCTCCTGCTCCAGCTGATTCCGATAAGGGCCTGTCCACTCATTCTATTCCTACAACTCACACCACCTGTTCAAAACCTTGGCACCGATCTTCTTCCTACTTGGCAGCTTCTGATGTTCATCATCCTCTTTCCAAAGCTTCTCAAGAGTCCCCATCCAACTTGCCCACACCCGATTCTGATGTAGCAGACAATCACCCACCGTCTTCATCGGAAGACTTTACTCAGCTTGTCCACCGTATGGCAAAATCTCTTAAGCTCGAGGTTGAGCAACCTCCACCACCGAAGCAAGGCGTCGTGTTGGATGCTATACATCAGGATAAGTCTCCACCTCTCAGCCTAGCCTTCATACCTGCCATGCTTGATCTCATAAAGAAATCCTGGGACAAGCCACTATCCTCTCTTCATATCTGCAGTTCCACCCTGACAAAATAACCTTGTATCTGGATGTTTCCTTCCTACCTAAGGTCATTTCAGACTTCCACCTCAATCAACCTCTTGTCCTCCCTTCTCTTTTTCCATCTCTGACATCAGACCTAGAGCGCATGCTTCATACTCTGGATGTCAGATGCTCCCTGGCCTTTTATGTTTCCAGGACAAAGACTTTCCACAAGTCTCCTTGTCTGTTCCTCTGCTATCATGGTCCATGCAAGGGCTTTTCAGCTTCATCACAGACTGTCCAGATGGATAGTTCAGTCTATTGCCTTGTCCTATGAACTAGTGGGAGACTGCCACCAGACACTATTAAAGTCCATTCCACCAGTGCTGTCTCTACCTCTACCACTTTTCTTCACGGTACAGACATCTCTAATATTTGTCAAGCTGCCACCTGGTCTACATCCTCGACATCTGTCACTCATTATTGGCTGGATATCAGAGCTCAGAATGAAGCTAGCTTTGGCAGGGCTGTTCTTACTTCCTTTGACGTGATGTCCTTACCAACCGGTAAGTTGTCAGAAGGGGAGGACCCTTGCTAGTCACCCATTTGTGTGCATTCACAGAGACCACGAAGAAGAAAGGTTACTTACCTGTAACCATAGTTCTTTGAGTGGTCCTCTGTGAATCCACACATCCCGCCTGGCCTCCCCTCTGTCCATCTCTATTTGCCTTTCTGACAGTGGCGAACTTTCTAGGGACTGAGGGGACTTAGGCGGGCAGAGCATGCGCTCCATGGGGGAACGTCCCAGTAATCACATGTTTTTAAG